TCTTAGTTCTCCATCACCTCTAGCACACTACTCCCTTCAAAGATGTCGTGTTGGGTAGCTGCCTTTCCCCCCTCCTGTGGGGATTGTCATTCCCATAGCTGAAAGCTCACTTGGACCTGTGCTCACTGTTGCTTTGTCCAAAGAGGAGAGCCGTGATTCTATGGACCAAAATCATGTTACTGTCTGCATTTGGGATATTTTCCCAGACTTCATAGAAGTAAGGGACCTGTTTCTAGGAGGAATATGGCTTCATATTAATAGATTGAGCTTTATGTGTTTGTCTTCTTCCTATGTACTCTTTCCTTGCTGAAATGTACAGTTATGTTACAGATGCGTTTATGGAACAGTTGTGCATTTGTCTGTTCTCTGAGAGCTGCTAATATGATTGAAATCAGCATTTTTTTTTCTGTGATGTTTAGTATTACTGGCCTTCTTTGAGGCACCTCCCTCCATTCACTGTATTTAGGTGTGCTTCTTTGTTAATATGCTTCAGATATGTTTCAAACCTAGTTGTTTATTTGCCCCTCTGTATTTAAAGGTGATAATGCTGTTGGTGGGAACAGTCCATGTTGGCTGGAGTGTACATGTAGGCACATGTACATGGGTGAAGAGGCATTCTTCACCAAGGTGGTCTGTGCATAGTTGCTTGAAACGTGTAAGATAAGTTTACCTTCCTTAGGAGCTCCTCTAACTTGAATAAAGTGTGCAGTGGGGCAGTGTGAGTATCTTCAGTTGCTAGAACTGCCTTGTGTATGAGCCAGTGATGAGCTGTGGTGCCTTAGACCACACCCTGGGTTCTGTGAAGTTCCAGCCCTGCATGGCTTGAATTGCTTTACAAGCAGGTAAGATTTGTATGAGTGGAACAGCCCTCCTTGTGATTTCCAAGTCAGGAGGAGTCCGCGTGTGCACACAGGGATGTGGACAAGTGACCAGGGAAGTATCTGTGTGCTGGGGAGATCCTGAGGTGTGTGAGGGCAGGTGGGGATGTGCAAATGAGCACTTGTGTTTGACAGAGGATATGTCTGAGCCTGTGTGCTCTCCTGTGGCAGCCAAGTGAGTCTGACTCCATCCTCCAGCTGTGTAAATACATTGCTTAGCAAATTGAGGGCTCTGGTTAATGATTTCCATGAGCACAGGGCCCATATTAGGCTCCGTTCTGTGAGCGGTACCCAGCTGTCTGAATGCCATTAGAGTGAACACATGAGCCTTTAATGTCAAGTGCATATTGTTTGTGCTCTGAGGAGCCTTGGCAGGAGCTGGCCTGGGGTTGCTCACCAGGAGCTGTCAGGCAGGTTTATGGCAAGCTCCCTGGGGACCTGCTGCAGCGGCGGCAGCAACTCTTAACACCCTTCCTAGTCAAAGCAAAGTCCCAGACATGGTGTGCCCAAGGAGAAGGGCAGGCTGGCTAAGGTGCTTGCCCAGACCAAGGGAGGCAGCTGGCCCAAGCGACAGGGTGGCAGGAACGTGTTCCCCTCTCCGGCAGCTGGTTCTGTCCATTTTTGTTCTGGAGCTTTGCCTTGTGCTACTCATCAGGACCAGACCACCACATGCTGTGATCCCAAATGGTGTCTTGGACTAAGCCAGATCAGGCCTGGTCATCCCTAGAGCTGGCTATGAACTCCAATCTAAAAATGCTCCTCTGCAAGAAGAGAGTTGAGGGATTTGGAGATTTCTTACCTCCGGCAAGGTCAGTACCAGAGGTGCTTCCCTGTCAGTCAGGGAGCAGGTACATGAAGATCCTGTATTGCTCAGGATAACAAAGGAGTGCAGGTTGGTCAGGGTGTTGTTATGGCTGAGGGCAGTCAGGTTACTGCCTCTCCTGTTACTGCCTGCAGTTAAACAGAGGTCCTTTCTCACTCTGCCCTTGTCTGCTGTTATTGAAAGTCAGTGGTCATCTCGTGGCTCCTTGAGAGGTGCCATGATGAACAGGCAGGATTGGGTGCATTTTGAGCCTCACTTAAGCTGCCTGACTGCCCATGAATCTCGGCATCTTCCTGTGTCTTCTTGTGTCCCTGACCTTCAACCTCAACCCTTGTTCTGTGCCCATTGTCCTGGCAGTGCCTTGGGAAGGCTCTCTGCCCCACACATTGGCCCCAGAAGACACAGAGGGAAATCATACCACAACTTTCCACCCAAAGCCTGGTGAGTTTTGTAGATGACTTTTGTCTGTCCTTTGGACCCATCTTTCCCCAGCCTCTTCATCTGCTGTCTGCCAAAAATGAACGGATTCAGCTGCCTTCCCTAATCCTGTCTGGCATTTCAAAATGGAGGGGACTGCCAGGTTCTTTGTTCCCGTTCCGTCTTGGCACTGGCAGGGGACCTTCTCTGCTCTGGAGAAGGACAAATGTGCTGATTTATTCTGCCCCTTAGCTTTGAATAGGGGTTGCTATGTTACCCTCCAGCTCTGAGGCCTGCCAGAGCACACACCATATATAACCCCACAGCAGGTGGCTATTGAGTAAGGGCCCTTAAATCTGCCTCTCTTGTTTCTTATGCTGCTGGCCAAGGTGTCAGGGGGATGTAGCAGGGCATGATTTGCTGGCTGAAACTCCAGGCACAGCTGATGCCAAGCACCATGTTGGCATTTTCCATTCTCAAGTGCCTGTCTTAATTTGCAGAAGAGATACCAACTAGGCAGGAACACGCTGCCCACACTGGCTTTTAGACATCTTTTCTGACATGAAGGCTGCTTCCCCATAGGGCTGAGCTGTGATCAAGAGCCTGAAGACAAGGGACTTCCAGATCCTGCTGCAGTTACTGCAGCACTCAGGGCCTGGCTTGGACACTTCGTTAATCTGATTTGCTGTGTGTGTTTGGGTGAGACAAACCATCTGAACAGCTTTTTGGGGATATTTGTGTGTTGTTGGCTTGTGATGGCAAGTTAAAACCCAGGCAGAGGAGAGGTGGAGGTATCAAAACATCACCTTGCCATACTGTTGGGTGGTTGCAGCTGTGTGATAGACCTGAATCTAAAGTGCTAAAATGAACCTGTCTTCTGTGAGACAGTAGAGATGGTAATTGTTCGTAAAAAGCCTAATTCTCTGAGGAACAGTCCCAGAGTGCAGGCTAAGCAAAGGAGACCCCATGGTTCTGGTTAGGGAAGGCCTAGAAGAGGAACAAGGATAATACCAGAGCCCAGTCTGAATTACACAGAACATTAAGAGTTGGAAGTGACCATAGAGATCTAGTTCTAATCCCACCTGCCATGGGTAGGGATGCCTCCCATCAGACCAGGCTGCTCAAGGCCTTACCCAACCTCACCTTGAGCACTGCCAGGGTTGGGGCATTCACAGCCTCCCTAGGAAACCTGTTCCAGTGTCTCACCACCCTCACAGGAAAGAATTTCTTCCTAATATCTAGACTAAATTTCACCTCTTCCAATTTGTTCCCAGAACTCCTTATTCTGTCACTACAGTTCTTGAGGAAGAGTCTCCCTCTGGCTTTCCTGTAGATGCTTTCCAAACACTGGAAGGTTCCTGTAAGGTCTCCATGCTACCTTTTTACCTCTAGGCTGAACAGCTCCAATGTTCTCAGCCTGTCTTCATTGGGGAGGTGCTGCAGACCTCTTAACAACTTCATATCTTCCTCTGGACTTGCTCCAACAATTTCATATCCTCCTTCTGTTGGGGGCTCCACAGCTGGATACAGTACTCCAGGTGGGGTCTCACCAAGAGCAGACTAGAGGGGGAGAATCACTTCCTTTGACCTGCTGGCCATTCTGCTTTTAATGCAGCCCAGGATTCCACCGGCTTTCTGAGCTGCTAGTGCACAGTGCCGGCTCACATTGAGTTTTTCATCAATCACCACCCTGAGTCCTTTTCTGCAGCACTGCTCTCAATCACCTTTCTTCTCTGTCCAACCTGTAGATTTTTGGGTTTTTTCTAACCTGTTTCTCATTGGGTTTTTTCCTAACCTCTGTGAAAATAGTAGTAAAGCCCTTCCCAAGAGTGATGGAAGTGAGTTGAGAGTAGGGGACATTTGCGTGAGTTTCTGAGCTGCTGAAGTTCCCACATTTTCCTTGGGAATGAACTCTACAGAATCATGATTAAACACTCTCCAGGACCACAGAGCAGTGAGACCTCCTCTCCTGGCCAAAACGTATCAGTTAAGTAGCTGTCCCACTAGTGCTTCTGCTTGCATAAGGAAAGAAACAAACCAAAGTTCTGAAAAGTAAAAGGAAAGCTCTTCACATTTAACAGAATGTAATTACTTCTTTGGCACCATAATTCCTCTGGGATCAATATATCTCAGCACAGCCTATTGGAAAACAACATTTCTGTCCTGTCACACAGTGCAGGGAGTTCATGGCTATTTCTGGCCTCCTTACTCGGGACCTGCTCTGACTATGCTCTGAACACTGGGAGCAAAAGGAGAGAGAATGGCCTTCAGTGGCCATGGTAGAAACCAATCTGTAAGGCCTTGGGAGTGGGATCTTTTCCTCCAAGCATCTCTCAGCCATTCCTCATCAAACTGTAGTCTGGAACCAAAACCATGGAGAGCTTCAGCTTGCCTGGGACTTTAAGAAGTAAATCCTTCTTGGAGAGCTGTTGAAAAATGGGGCTGAAGAATGCATTTCCAGAGATTACTTGGTTTGTCCCCATGCTCTAAAAGTGCATTAGATCTTATTTCAAGGTCAAGTGAATTTAGCTTTTCCATGTGATATCTTTTAGAACTGATGCTTTTCTAACTCTGGTACTCTAAATGCATCATGGAGATCCTGTTTCACTTGGTGGCTACAGGTACCATGGGCGCTAATCATGTGGATCCTAGGGACCTCAGTCCTGGAGGAAGGGAGGTGTGCCTGCTTTTTATCTTGAAGGGGAAGAGCAAGGATGTGAGCAATGTGCTTCCACTGCATATGTTAGTGCCATTTGCTGCAAGTGCATGTTCAAGGAGGTGTAATTGTGTCAGAGAGGGGGATGACAAAGCACTCAAGGCAAGAACTTCACTGTGTAGCTGATATGAGCACTGACTTGATGCCTCTCTTTATTCCCCTGCAGAGCATCAACGGAGGCCGCCCGCCACCCCACTTTATGTATGATCCCTCCACTTTTGCCTTCCGTTCCCTCAGCACCTTGAAGCCGCTGAGCCCGATAGCTCCAGTGGAAGAACCGTCATGTGCCTACTGAAGGAGTTTCTCCAAAAAACCTCAGGAACTATCAACCAATGTCCTGCCTGGCAGGGAGAAGGGGAGGGGTGGGAGAAGAAGGGGCAATGACACATCTTTGCAATGCAGCTGCTCTGGCAGGAGGAAGCAAATGGCTTGGCAGCAGTGCCTGTTCTCATACCACTGATGGATCTGAGCAGTGGCAAAGAGAGTGAGTTTTGTCTTTCAGGGCAAAGCAAACCGGTCAGGTCTACAAGCCACATGAACTGCCACCAAGGCAGTGTCAAACATGAGGATGGTGGTAACTGAAGATATCCAGGAGGTGTTCGGGGGTTAGTATGACCTGCATGGCAGCAGGGATGAGTGATGAAGCTGTGAAACCAAATCCAGTCAATTTCCCAAGGGCGTCTACAGTGCTTTGCTATAGACCTGATGCTTCTCCCACTTAGAAGTGAGCTCAGGATTGGAGAAGGAGTCTATACAGAGCTGCTTGCAAAACAAGAAGATCCCTCTCTGAGGTTGTTATAATTGCGTTCACATCCAGCTCTCTTAAGTGGAAAGCCCTAGGACAGGGAGGTGTGTGGAGGAGTAACTGGCACACTTAGCTGTGCATTCTAGATGATCTGCTTACAGTTCAGTGATACTGTCCAAAAAGAGATTGAAATGGGAGAGTGAGATATCCATATGTAAATCTGGGGTTGGAATAAAATGCTAGAATTGGAAGGTCTGTGTTGAACCATCCAGGAAAATCCAGCACTTACCTTCAGTCCTCTCAGCATCATCAAAGAGAAGACCTTGGGGGTAACTGTGTGCTCATGGATCCCCTCTCTGCTGAGGCAGTATGTGTTCTGGGGTATGTAATTTTTAATCCATAGTATTGTCCCTCTACGTGATGGTGGAGGTAACTGGTACCACCAAACTCAAACCAATTTAATGTCTCCAGCAAGCTTTCCACTCCCCTTGTTTAGGCTAGCTGTTAAGTTCAGATACACTCTTCTGGTATCTGGTATCTCTATCTGGTAGGACAAGATTCCCAGATGAAGCAAGAAGTGGGAAAAAGCAATCAATTTCGTGGCTGTTGGTGGAAGAAATAGGAGGGGAGTTTGAGTGAAGGTGGGAGACATTTCTCCATAGACAGTTTTGAGGCTATTTGGACCATGTTGGGCCTTGCTACTACTGGTATTTGGGATCTGTCCTCAAAGCATTTTTGCCACAAGGCAGGAGTTAATAGAACAAGCTCTTGCCTCTCCTGTTGAGGCAGAGGAACAAGGCCTTTCTTCTTGCTGCACCTGATGGAGAGAGTAACCTTTTTGTGTGGGCACTCCACACCATGAGCCTGCATCTGAGTGCAAGGGGAAGCAAGTAGTTTACTGTTTGTCCAGATCAAGAGGAGCAACTGTGAGTAATACAAAATAATCTTTGTTTTTTTAAATCTGCCTCAGTGTAGAGTCTTTGATGCTGCTCTTTGGTTGAGACCAATGGTCAGTCCAGCTGCCAGTAGGAGGCTACCCAGTGAACTGGTCTGGGCCCTTCACTGAGACCCCTGGAGAAAATCCAAAGGCTGTAGGCTTGGGGACCTGAATCCCCCACCCCACCCTCTTCTCCCTAACTCCTGTCATTCAGGCAGGCAGAGCAGCTGGGCAAGGTGGTGAGGGGATGTCTGTCCTGATGCTGTCCCAGCTCTGCCTGCTCTTTGGCTCCTGACTGTTACACCTGGGCCACCCCCTGCACCAGCACCACCTCCAAGAGGTCACTTGTGTTTACTGGTGAGGGACTTTGGGCAGACTGTCATGGTTCCCTGCCAAGTCCCTATTTCAGAGAGCCCATTTCCTCTGCTGATTCCTCCTGCCCCTGTAGAAATTCTGCTTATCTTGTTTTGATGGCACACCTCAGCTTTTTAACTGCTGCCAGACCAAGCTGACCAGTGCAGGACAGGAAGCATTGCTCCTTAGGACCAAAATCCCTGTGCTCAGGAGATGGGACAGCCATAGCCTGGTACCCATCTAAGAGGCACATTCCTTGTGCAAATTGCTGGGGTGGCAGCCCCTGCAGCCTCGGGCTTGGCTCAGCAAGAGCTGCCAAGGTGCTGGGGCCCAAAGGTGTGTTCCTGCCAGCCAGCAGGTGGGGCAGGCTGCCTTGCCCCAGGTGGGAGCAGGGAACAGGGATGTCCTGCCGATATCGTTGCCTTTTACTACTTTTGTAACTTTTTTCTGTCTTTTCTTTTTCAATGAGAAGAAAAAATAAAAAAAAAAATTAAAAACCCCACAATGAAATAAAGTGTAACAGCTGCTATATTCACACCTCTGGTGCTTCTCGTGCATTTGCCATCTTCTGGGTGTTTGTGGGCAGGGGTATGGAGGGGGTGGAGTAGAGTGAGCTGTGACACAGTGCAGCCAGTCTCAAGCACTCCACCATGTAAGGAGGCCACGTCTGCAAGTGAATGGCTTTCAAAATGAAGAGCTTTTCCAAAATGAATGCCAAGTTCTTTGTATGTGCAGCTGCTCCACTTGAGGTATGGTGTTACTGGTATGGTGTATTGTTACTCACTGGTGCTTCCCTCACCAAGATGGTGCTTTGGCTTTCGAGTGACTTGTCTATTGCTTGTGCAAGTCAAATGTATCCTGACTGGAGGTTTCCAGCCCCCCCCAGAACAGAAGGATGGGTAACTTTGGCTTGTAATTTTAACTTCAGGCAGTCTTGCATGTTTGTCCTGAGATTCTCCACAGCCTTATTGTTAACAGCCACAGAGCACTTTTCCTCCTCCATAATTTAGTATAATTCACCCTTTCCTCTCTATTTTGCTCTAAATACTCTATCTGGGGTACTTTTAATGTGCATTCCCCACCCCTTGCTCCTCACTATCTCCTTGAGCTAATTTCTGTCTCTCCCCCACTCCAACTGTATCTTCACCAGCATCTCACAAGGCTATTACCTATGTCCCCTTTTCCAAGGCCTCCTGAGAGATATTAGCATAAATTCCCTTAGCAGTCCTACTTAGATTCGTTCCCAGGAGGCCTTTTCCATTCTTCCCTCCAAGCTCTGATCTCCTCTAGGCTTCTTGCCATCTTATCTTGAAATCCTCCCCTCTCTGTCAGCTGCAGCTTTGTTAATTGGCCTTGGCCAATTCTGCAAGGTTTGTGCGGTGACTTGCTGGCTCCCTCGAGCCCTTGGTCTTGTACCTCCCTTACAAAATGTTTTTCTCTGGGATGTTTCTTCCAGCACAGCCTGAGCCCTCAGCACACCCGCCCTTGGGGCCCCAGATGCTGTTCAAAACCATGGTGGTGGCTATGACTCCACAAACCTTGATCACCTGTAGGCCCCTGCCAGGTCAAGCTTGTTGTAGGTGTATTTTGTATATTCAGAGAGAGGGATGCACTGACCTTGTATCCTCCAGTCTGGAAGTACAAACACCTAGTGCTCAGAAGCCAGGGTACAGCTGGTGAAGGGCAGGAAGCTGGCACACAGCTTGGCATTGCACAGCCAGCCCCCTGACCAGGGTGAGCTGAGTGTAGAGCTGCTGCTGCCCCTGTGCTGTTGTCTGGGCTCCCAGCATGTGTTTGGATTTAGTTCAATCGTGCCCACCCATCATCTCTCCCTGCAAGCTGGGTGTCTGGGTTTACAGCAAAACAGGGCAGTTTTTGTGGTGAAAAGTGGTGATAAACTGCAATATGGCAACAACTCTGATGCTCAAGGAAGGCAGATTAGGGGTATTAATGAAGATGTTACAGGGTACTTTTCAGCTGTAGTTACCAATGTTACTGACAAAGGGGAGCGAGGACATTGGCCTCCTTTGGATGCTAGACCCTGGCATGTGGGCAGGGTTTCCCAAAGCCCACTGCAGGAGATACCACTAGAAACCAGGGAAACGAGAGCTGAGCTGTGGTCTTTGAGCCACAGTCCTTGCTGCAGCTATTGCCCTGTGTTGCTGCCTCTGGCGTCCATCAGTGCAGAGCTGTTCACCTCTGTGGCTTCCAAACCAGTTTGTGCAAACACTTCCTCCTCTGCCAGAGCAGGCAGGGCTGCTGGCTGAGCTCTGAGCAAAGCACTGTGAGCATGGCAGCTTGGCACAGGTCCCTCAGGACCTCTACTGTGCTGGAGATCCTGGCTTCCCCAGGCTTGGTTCCTGGCTCAGCAGAGGAGCCTGTAACTTCTAAGCTGAGTCCTTTCTCTGCTCTGAGCCATCTTGCTTGGGGATGTGCAGGTGTTTCCCTTCAGAGCAGAAAACACCCTGTGAAGAGAGCAGGGCTGTTGTGCCAAAGTGCAGCTCAGCTGTGTTAACCATCTGCAGGAGGGTGAATGGGGACAAGCGGCTGTTTGAAGAGCTGGGCTACAGCTTCTCTACGATTTAAGCAGGACCATTTAAGCTAATACTGTTCTCCAGTTAAAGTAAATTAATTAGGTTAATGCTATGGCCTTTTAAAAATAACAGAGAGATCACAGCAGTGGCAAAATGGATTGCTACATGTATACCCTGAGCCTCAGTGAGTCCCTTTGAAGCCAGCACACAGGATCCTCTCTTCTTTGTGTTGTCCAAACATTTTCTGACATACACGTGTACATGCATGGACATATGTGATATACATATATTTCTGTCTCACTATGTTTCACTTGTGCAGAAATCTCTGTTCTCTGACAGTCATGCACGAGCAGGGTGCCCTGTGCTCACCTGGGTCAGTCTTTGACAGGGCTCCATGTGAAGCCCATCTGTGGCACACTCACCAGCTCTGTGCTGCAAAGCACAGTGGTGCTTGGAAAGCCCACCCACCACCCTGTTTCCAGCTGCATGCTGAGTGTTAACCCTTCTGCCTGCCTATGGGATTGACTAGGAAAATGGGCAAAACTTGCAGTGCTGCTGGGGCCAGAGTTCTCACCCCAGGCTCAATGGAGGCCACTGAAACATGGCTTGGCACAGGAAAAACAGAAGCAGATTTTCCAGCTGGACAGGCCATCTCATTCAAACAACTTTGGGCTTTCCCTTGCTCTTCCTGAAGCTGCATAGCATGTTGTGGCAAGGTGTGGGGTGGAAGAATGCATTCAAGGGTGTGTATCAAGTTAGGATTGAACAGGGTATGTGCTGATACAGCGT